TTTTTTTTTTTTTTTTTTTTTTTTTTTTTTTTTTTTTTTTTTTTTTTTTTTTTTTTTTTTATCATAGCTGCTTACAGTTTAATACAACAAGATACTTACAAATACACATATTGCTATATCAAAACGGAAGCTGATTTTTCTTTCAATTGAAATAATATACGTATACATACTTGAGTGTTCATAATACCTATCACATATTAAATTGCCATCCGCCCTCTTTTTTATTACATGCAATGATTCGCTTCGTATTGGTTCACGTGTGAAAATAAGATCAAATTTTTGTTTCCTCAAAAAACGTGTGACTGTCGAATAATAAAAGGTATACATATGTATAAACACCTGCCTTTAGTAGATCAGACAGAAAAAGAGGGTCGAGTCTCTAACAAAAGGGGGCAGAGAGTTGAAAAAAAAAAAACTGCTGATTAACACCGACGGTTACAATCGTCAGAATTTTAAACAGCTAGGAGCTGTACTTATACATTATACCAATAATAATAATAATAATAATAATATAATTTACGTAACACGTATACAATACGTGAAAATCAGAACTGACTTTTTTTATTGCAGCTACGACGTAGTTTTCCAGTTAAAAAAAAATACTCTCGAGTAGTAAGTATATAGTTATACCTCTGCCGGGCATGATTCCGATAAGTCCGATTTCTGTGGCGCCTGATATTTCTGTCTTTTACTATCCAATAACCAAATATATCTATATATAGCTTACCGCCACAGAAATCGTAATCATCCCCTCTGCCGTGTTAGCTCGAAAAAGTGAAGACGAAAGAGGAATAGTATATATATATATATATACATATATACTTTTTCCTCTTTCGACTATATATATATACATATATTACGGTGACGCAACGGTGGCAGTGAGCATTGTGAGCAACTGAGCAGTTTTAGGGTTGCGCGCGGACAGTGCGAAGTGTGCGCGCCGCCGCTGTTTGAGCGACCCTATACTTATACCCTGTAATCCCTGTGTAGGCAGAGAATCTCTGGTGTAGGTCTATGTATCTCTTATGTCGCTGTGTTATTCAACGGGTGGCAGTACTGGCAGTGCTTGGCGCAAGTGTTTCGCTCGTTGTGTGTACCACGACGGGTCAATCAAAGTATACTTACTCATTCGCGCGGTGCATTAAAGCTTAAATCCCACAAGTGTAACAGTATAGTGTACTTCATTATTTACTTCATTATTAAGTATAAGTACTTAGTAAGTTATACATTGTCAATGTAAATGTAAATGAGTTGTAGCAGCTTCAGTGCGTCACATGCCCATATACATAGAGAGCGCGCGTACATTATACCTGTTGGTACATATATGCATACGTACACAAATCGGACACTTATTTACGGGCCACGAGTTAACATAATAAGTGGTAAATCATTGTATCAAGTGATAAGCACTCAAGTATAAAAGTGCCAACAGTCAAAAATTCATCGTGTAAAAAACTACCTACTTTATTTTGCCATATACAGTAGTGTATAGTCTCCAAGTGGGTATAGCCGGCGGTCGACTCGCACACCTGCCACTTGCTTCTGCGCGAGGGAGGGCGCTCCCACGTATTCCAGGATCGCAGTGCAACCCGGCTGATTTTTCTGAACTAAGTACTGAGGTCCGAGACCCTAGCAGACATTTCACGGGCCAGCCAGGTAAGCGAATATCTTGGACATCTTTTACCCTTGGACATTTGCATTTGGAGGTTAGCTATATCAATTTTTGCAAGATAAGGGTTATTGCAGGGGGAGCGTCGAGAGAGAGCGCTATATTTACCTATATATATACTTTTTTTTTTTTTTACATTACAGTGCTCTACGTCCGGCTCCTTTTTAATAAGGGCACTACTATGGGCACTTAGCACTTGGGAAAGGGTTGGGAGGGGGGTAAGGGGAAATTAGGCAATTATTGCTGCGAGAAGGTCGCCTAAACCCTCCTCGAGGAGCATTGCGTGGTGAAAAATCACAAAGGTACTTGCCCGAAAAAGTCCCAATGGCCGGGAATCGAACCACGGTCTCTCCCGCGTCCCGATCCACGACCGAGCCGACTGAGCCACCGCGCGCTCTTATATATATATACTTACTTGAGGGCACAGTGTGCACCTTTCTCGAATCAACAGTTTTTCCTTCTTCCTGTTGCTGTGTATACTCAAACTGTAGTATAGTGTACACACACACACACACACATATATATAATCCCAACAAGGATCAGGGCCATATCGATTGGCCCCTCAAGCGAGAGTGCACGCACCGTTGAGCATGACGTTATTTTAAAATTTTTTTTTTTTCACCTTTGGATGAGTTGGTTTTTTCTTTTTATGTTTTTCTACCCCCTTCCTGTTTCAACATTAATTGCGGACCGATAACCGATAACTTTGCCTCGTCGATCTCACGCGGTTCTCGGGGGTAATTAATTTCGCTGCCGGCTGCTGTGTGAATTCAAGTATGCATACCTACACTAGCGATAATTTCTGTGTCCCGGTGCATGCATTACACATGCAGGGCTATTGGTTCACAAAGACACGCGCTAATTACCGATACCTACCTACATGACCACCGCCCGCCAACACTCACTTCCATGCACTAGATCGTTTTATTACAATCGAAGAAATTAATTAGGTGGTTGGTACTAACGCTCCTTCAGATCCTTGCTTACTAATAGTATACACCGCGTAGTCGCTCTCTATGCGGACGCAGTCAGACGGTGGTACTTTTTTTCCGAAACTAAATTGATTGAGAGCCAAGTTCTGTAAGTATAATCATTATGTGCGCCGTTTGAGAAATAAACGTGAAACACGTCAAAAATCTTTATGAATATTATATACGTGGAAAAAGTGTGTTATTATTTCTGATGTATGTGACACGATAAAAAAGAGTAAAATAAAATCGAGGAAGCAAGAAATGATGCTTGTCATGCTTTCACTGCAAAATGAGACACTTTGATTTATGTGTAGATAAAACAAAAATTCATCCACTCACAAGCTTTTGACTTTTCAGAGAGCATCAACAAAACAAATATTAAATAATATAAAATATATACGTGCATGTACCTATGTACTTGTAAACTGGTGTCCATAGCAAGTGTGTGCATGGCGCGCGCGCTTTTTGGCGAAAAGGAGAAAAAAGATTTCGTTTGCGCTTACAGAACTCATGTGACGCGACGCGAGTGTTTTATGTAATTCAATTAAACCTGAACTGATGTATGTTTAATTTTAATTTTGCTCTTCTTTCCTTTTCCGTACTCGACGCCAAATTCTAACGCTGTGATTTATCCTCTTTCACATAATTTTAACGTCCACGCGATAAATCTTCAAAGGTTGGTACAAATAATGAAACTCAGTTTACAGGATCATT